TGGCAGTCTGCAAAGGCCTTGTGTCTCAAAAGTGCTACAAGATCTCTCTGCATACTATTCTACAAACTAACACAGCAGTATCTTTGAATTCTCCTTCATGTGTTACCTATATGTATGGTGAAAGTATATACCTTAAATATACTCAAGGGTAATACATGTGAGGAAGTAGACTTTAGTCTACAAAAGCTCATGCTGCCAACTTTGTTCTTTCACTTAGTCTGAAAGACACTACAAGATCTCTCTGCATTACTCATTCTACAAACTAACAAAGCAATATCTTTGAATTCTCCTTCATGTGTTACCCATATGTATGGGGAAAGTATATTTAAAGTATTCTAGGGTAATGCATATGAGGAAGTAGACTTTAGTCTACGAAAGCTCATGCTGCCAACTTCTTCCTTTCAATTGGTCTCAAATGTGCTACAAGATCTCTACAGGGTCTCAAATGTGCTACAAGATCTCTGATAACACATCAATTATTTTTGAATTCTACCACTAGGGTAATATTGTTAGCCTTGCCTCCCATAGCTTCTCCCAGCATAGGGCCTTTGCATGCAGACCACTACACACAGAAGCTTAGAATCATCGAGTTGGAAGAGACCACAAGGGCCATCCAGTCCAACCCCCTGCCATGCAGGAACACAGACAGCACCCCTGACAGATGGCTATCCAGCCTCTGTTTAAAAACCTCCAAAGAAGGAGACTCCAGCTCTCTCCATGGGAGTGCGTTCCACTGTCAAACAGCTCTCACTGTCAGGAGGTTCTTCCTAATGCTGAGGTGGAATCTCTTTCCTTCTAGTTTCAATCCATTGCTATGGTCCTACTCTCTGCCTCAGCAGAAAACAAGCTTGCTCCATCCTCAACATGACATCCCTTCAAATACGTAAGCAGGGCTATCATATCACCTCTTAACCATCTCTTCTCCAGGCTAAACATACCCAGCTCCTTAAGAGGTTAGTTATATTGCAAAAATAATCCAGGATGAATCCAAGTTGAATTGCCATTGTTCACATGCATCCCAAATGCATCCAATTAGGTGGGGGTGGGGTGAGGCTGCCAAAACCCCCACTTAATCTGGGATAATTGATATTGGGTTTGTCCCCAAGTTTTTTAAAAAGATCTATATTGTTGATAGTGTGAATAAGTGATACAAATAGACCTGGGATAAAACGCTGCATGCCTTGAACATGTTCCAAATGCATTAGCATCATCAGCTCCATCTTTATTTGAATGTTGCACCTGTGAGCAATTGAACTTCTAGAGATGCGCATCAATGCAGTTCCATAGCACAGATATCTAACCTAGAATGCATGACTGAGATGATTCCCATCGTCTTGCTAAGAAAAACGACATCTGAATGACCCCTCAGTCTCTCCTCATAGGGCAGAGTTTCCAGACCTGTCTTGAAGTCTCTCCCTATTCATAGGGGTTTGTGTTGGTCTGAGTTGATACCTTCTAATTTGCCTCCTCAGAACAAATCTTGCCAAGAAAACCCCATTAAAGGTATGCTGTACAATTGCCATGAAGCAGAAAGGACTTGAAGTCACAAAACAACCACCACAAAGGCTACGTATTTATTTATTTCATGTGTATGCCTCCTTTCTCCCAGAAAGGACTCAAGGCGGCTCACAGATAAAACATTTTTTTAAAAAAATATAATAAAATTTAAAACTGCTATAGCAAAGCAGCTTCATTTATATACCACTTCATATCGCGATATGGGATGTCTAAGTGGTTTACAACTGTAAGCTCATTGCCCCCCAACAGCTGTGTACTCATTTTAGCGATCTCAGAAGGATGCAGGCCTGAGTCTAGCCTGAGCCCTGGCTAGTACTGAACTCGCAACCTTGTGGTCTATGAGTGAGTGGCTGCAGTACAGGCATTTAACCACTGCACCACCAGGGCTCCTATAGATATCCATGCTATGGAACTGCACTGATGTGCATCTCTGGAAGTTCACTTGCCAAGTATAAAATTACATTAAAATATACAAAAGTTAAAAGGCATAACTAAAACATACTCTATAAAATCCACCCTGGTATGATTATATATTAAATGCCTACTTAAATAAAAACATAATAGCTTGCCAACAAAAGGCAACCAAGGAGGGGGCCAGTGTAGCTTCCTACAAAAGGGAGTCCCAAAGTGTGGGAGCAGCCACCCAGAAAGCTCTTTCATGTTCACACCAAGCGAACCTGTGATGGTGGTGGGACTGAGAGAAAGCCTTCCCCTGAAGATCTTTGTTTTCTGACAGGTTCCTATGGGAAGATAACGGCTCTTCAAATGATCTGGACCTAAGCCATATAGGGATTTATAGGTCATAACCATCACTTTGAATTGTGCCTGGAAACAAACCAGTAGCCAGTGAAGCTGTTTCAAACAGGGAGTTCATCTCATCCCCAGACTTCTCAGGATCACTCGCTTCTCCTAAAAGTTCAAATCTTGTCTTCTTGTTCTTCCTCTTCTAGCTTCTTGTAGGTTTTCAGCTGATGCTTGGAAGAGAAATTTGCTGTCCTTTCTAGAGAAGGAGCAGGACTGAAAAACAGTTGTTGCCTTCTTCTTTTGGTTGTTTTGTGTACTATCCAGGTCCTGATCATCTTCTTCCTCCTGAACACCATTCATTATGAAGCAGCTTCTTTCATGTACAGGGGATTCCGTCTGAGAAAACGTTGGTTCTCTGGATGCCAACATGGCTAAAGTGAGACTGTTATACTTTGGCCACATCATGAGAAAGCAGGACTCAATGATACAATGATGCTGGGGGAGATAAAGGGCAGTAGAAAGAGGAATGATAAACAGAGGAATGATAAAAGGGAAAAAAGACCTGTCTTGAAGTCTCTCCCTCTTTTTTAGAGGTTGAACTCTCCCTGGAAGGAAAGATGACTAAACTGAGGCTGTCCTACTTTGGCAACATCATGAGAAGACAAGACAATTTTATGTTAGGAAACATTGTGTGCCTTCACATGGCTTCTGGCCTACAATGACTCTAAGGCTGTATTTTGGGGTTTTCTTGGCAAGATTTGTCCAGAGGAGGTTTGCCATTGCCTTTCTCTGGAGCTGAGAGTATGTGACTTGCCCAAGGTCACCCAGTGGGTTTTGTGGCTGAGATGGGATTCAAACCCTGGTCTCCAGAGTCATAGTCCAACACCCAAACCACTATGCTAAATGCAGCCAGTCAGTGCTACAGGGTGCCAAGCAAGCTGATCATGTTACACCAGTTTTTTTTCCCCATTTTCCTTCATCTATTATATTCAAATAAAATTTCTTTGGTTAGAAGGTGCACTTAAATGACTTTTTCTGCATTCTACCACATATTAACAAAACTCACAAATGAACAGACTACTATACACAATTCTTAGCATCAGCCATAAAAACACCCTGCATGTAACTTGTTTTAAAACTACTTCCAAGCCCCTTAATTTTTTTTCAGATAAAACTGTATTTCTTCTCCCAGGGCATATTCTCTGTGCAAGCACTAAACTCCAATACACACAACTATTTTTGTTGCTTTCCCCTCAATTTGAAGTCACTACAAAATGATTCACCTTCCATGGTTCCAGGTTCATATAATAAGTTCAAAGATACCAACTCAAACCCTGATCATGAAACAAAATACAACATACTTTTAAAAATAGTAATAATCAGAATTCACTATACATCATCATCATCTAGATACATACTGAGTAATTTTCATGACAAATTAAGAAAATGAAAATCTACAAAAAAATAATAAATTATGCCTTCCACGCAGAAAAAAAATGCTCCTGTAAATCAGCACGCATAAGGCAATGGAAATAACTTGGTTTACAGGTATTAGTGTATTCACACATTAACAGCTTCTATAGCAGGTTTGGGGAATATTTGGACCTGAACATGCTTTAGATTACAACTCCCACAATTCTTATCGTACTTCATACTGGCTGGGACTTCTGGGAAATGGAGTTTAGAATATTTAGATTTAGTAAACTCTGCTTGAGAGCTTTTAGTCCCTCTGTTGCAGATGCCCAGTTTCACTGAATTTTTGCAAGGAATGTGGTGTCCTGAGATGAAAGGACACCACATTCCTTGCAAAAATTCAGTGAAACTGGGCATCTGCAACAGAGGTTCTAAACTCTAAGCTCTCAAGCAGAGTTTACTAATTTATTTAGTTGAAGAACTGAAAATAAGGAAGTGTGACTTCTTCAGTGTTTCATTAAGTCAGTCTGGGGCAAGAGTTGGACTTGATTTAAAAACAGCATTCAATTCTGTTACATTAATTCTTGATTACAAGAGTGCATATTGTGTGCGTATGTTCCTTCATCTACTTATAGCAACCCCATGGACTTCACAAGATTTTCTTAAGGAAGACTCAGAGGTGGTTTTGCCAGTTTCTTCCAATGAAATATAGCCTACAGCACCTGGTGTTTATTGTCAGTTTCCTGTCCAAGTAGTAACTAGGGCCGACCTTGCTTAGCTTCCAAGATCAGACAGGAGCTGGTGCCTTTAGGATATTTAGACAGGTCATATGTGTTGTGTTGTGTGTGTGTGTGTTGCTGCACGAGTCTCCCATTGCTAATGTAGTAGTTATTGCTATTGTTAATCATTGAGCTGGAGTTAATGGCCATGCAAACACATCTAAAAGGGTTTAAATGGTGTTATTATCAACAAAATTACTGGGACACAACGTGTTTTTAGGTTGAATGAAGATGCAGAAGCAGATGGGATTACATGATGGATCTGAAAGGGTTAAGAACCTGAACAATGAATCAGGGTTTCCAGTTTGAATTGCATATATTCTATAACTTGCCTTAGGCAATTTTCAAAGATGTTGCCATGTTGGTCTCTTGTGGCATAAAAAGGAGGAAGGGAGGGGGAGAAAAAAAGAAAAGAAAGAAATGTGTCAGCATCTTTAAGACTAACTGGTTTTTAATTTAGCCTGAGCTTTCATGGATATAAACCTGCTTCTTCAAATGCAGGTTGTTGTTGTTGTTGTGTGGCTTTAAGTGGTTTCTGACTTATGAAGAACCTAAGGCGAGCTTATGGAGTTTTCATGGCTAGATTTCATAGAATCATAAAGTTGGAAGAGACCACAAGAACCATCCAGTTCAACCCCTGCCATGCAGGAACTCACAAAAGCACTCCTGATAGATGGCCATCCAACCTCTGTTTAAAAACCTCCAAAGGAGCAGACTCCACCTCTCCAAGGAAGTGTGTTCCATTGTCAAACAGCTCTTACCCTTAGGAAGTTCCTCTGAATGTTTAGGTGAAATCCCTTTTCCTGTAGCTTGCACTCAATGTTCTGGGTCCTGTTCTCTGGAGCAGCAGAAAACAAACTTGCTCCATCCAGAATATGGTACCCCTTCTATCATATCACCTCTTAAGCTATTTTTCTCAAGACTGAACATGCTCAACTCCCTAAGTCTCTCCTCATAAAGCATGGTTTCTAGACCTTTCATTTGTTCAGAGGAGGTTTGCAATTTCCTTCTGAGGCTGAGAGCATGGGATTTGCCTATGGTCACCCAGTGGGTTTCATGGCCGAGCTGGGAATCGAACCCTGACCACCAGAGTTGTAGCTCTTTTAGATGCAGAACTAAGTGTTATTAAGGCCTCACATATAAAGCATAGTTATACAGTTATGAGAGTAGAAAAGAAAGTAATAGACTCCAGAAAGATGCAAATCATGTTCATTGCCCTCAATTTTAAAGAGCTGGATGAGATGATACAGACTGGTCTTTCAGATGTTACAGTGGTCAGTTACTGTCGATGTGTGAAAGCAATAAATCTGCTTACCGAAAGTCAATTTCCCTGGCTTCAAAACTTTTTGAGAAGTACAGTAGTGAGAATTCTTTTACGTGGTGTGCCATGAAGCCACTGTCTTTGTTCATTTGCACTTCTGGTAGTGGATTGAAATTTTTGAATATAATTCAATTTAGCTATTCATCTTCCTAACCTTCCTTTGTAACATCCTTGTTCAAGGACTGTAACCTATAAATCCCTTACCGCATGTCCAGGGAGACTGAAATTCTGCCTTCCTGTTCTGCAACTGGTTTTGGGGAATTTCCATTTCTAATGTTAGATGTGTGATCATTTAATCCTCTTGATCATTTAATCCTCTTGCAATGTAGAGTGTAGAGGGGCACTGCTGGCATAGGATGGTATATATCACATTGGAGGAAGGGCAAGTAAATGCACCTCTGATATTGCACCCTGTAAGATTGCTTCTAGAGTAGATGTGGGGACAGAGTTGGCATCTGGATTTGTGATAGGGTCTTATCTCTGCATTACCATCCATGATGTTATGTATATAATGTAATAAATAACGAATTGTTTATTATTTGGAGGTTGTCTGTAGGCCAATAAAGGACTGCCTTCCAAAACATGTGAGAGGGCTGTGTTAGGCAAGTCATAGAAGATGCACAGTTGCTCCTCTGTTTTTGTGGGGGATCTGTTCCAGACTCCCCCACGAAAACAGAAAACCACAAATATTCAAGCCCCATAAGTTTGAATGGGGGTGTGCACCCATGGGCAAATGCCCCATTTTATTCCCCTCCGTTTGCCGTCCATGAATCAGTGAGGGACGTGGAGTTGAAGTCTGAGAAAACGAAGGGGCAACTGTATTGCTTTCACACATCAGTATTAACTAACCACTGTAAAGTTCTGAAAAAATTATTAAATGGCTTGATTTGCATCTTTCTGGGTTCTGTTATACTGTATCTCAGCTGTATAAGTATGCTTTATTACACGAGGCTTTAATATGCTGCATCTGAAGAAATGTATTTATATCCACAAAAGCGCATGTTAAAATAATGATCAGTTAATAATAATAATATAATAATAATACATTTTATTTTTACCCCGCCTTTCCATAAAATGATCAAGGCGGCTTACAGAAAATTAAAAATACAAAGATTGTTACAATTTAAAGATTAAAAGTTAGTCTTAAAGGTGCTGCTACATTTTCTTTCCCCTACTTTTTCCTCCCCCTCCCTTTCTCCTTTTGATTGCCTTAGGCAAGTGACTTTCATTTTTTGAAATGTCTTCCCAATTCAAAACTAAATAAAGAAAACTGTTCTCCTTCAGAGGGTTGTTTTAAGCAAGGCAAGGAAACTCCCCTCCCCTCTACTGCAAGCTTAATGTAGCCTGTGAAGTCTTCTTTTCTGGCCTGTTGAAAGTCTCAGGAAATCCCTTCGCTAGTTTTGTCTATTCCTCATAGATCCATATGTTGTTTGTTAACCACCTTCAAGTCAATCCCCACTCATGGCAACCCTATGGATGAGACACCTCTAAGACTCCCTATACTCCACTGCTTTGCTTAGGTCCTGTAAATTCATACCTGTGACCTCCCTAATAGAGTCTATCCATTTACTGTGTGCTCCTCTTCTCTTTCTACATCCCCCCTTATTGTCTGTTCTACTGAGTCATGCTTTCTCATGACGTGGCCAAAGTATGACAGCCTCAACTTGATCATAGGGCCTTTGCAGACTGCTAGAAATAGTGCAAATTGAGTCCACTTTAACTGCCCTGGCTCAGTGCTAGGGAATCATGGGAATTGTATTTTTTCTGAGACATTGAGCCTTCTCTGTTAGAGAGCTCTGGTGCCACAATAAACTACATTTTCCATGATTCCCTAGCACTGAGCCAGGACAGTTAAAGTGGACTCAATTTGCACTATTTCTGGCACTGCAAAGGCCCGTAGATTCCAGGGAGATTTCAGACTTGATCTGTTCAAGGACCCATTTGTTTGTCTTTCTGGCTGTCCACTGGATCCCCAGCACTCTTCTCCAGCAACCCATCTCAAATGAATTGACTTTCTTCTTATTCACTTCCTTCACTGTCCAGCTTTTGCATCCGTACTTGGTAATGGGGAATACAATTACTTGTATGGTTCTGACTTTAGTGGTCAGTTGTATATCTTTATGCTTTAGGATCTTTGCTAGTTCTTCTATCACTGCCCTTCTCATTCCTAGGAGTTTATCACACTGGGGCCAAGTGCCCAAATAACGTGCAGAAATGGGATTTGACACCCGAAAAAAACCCCCACAAATGTGGGTTGATTTTCACACACATCAGGGTTAATGAGCAATTAACCTGGACAGAAAGTGGACAAAACATATTTCTTTTTACTTTCGTGATTTTCTGAAAGTAAAAAGAATCATGTTTTGTCCACTTTCTGTCTGTCATGTTAATGCTCATT